CGCCCTGCTGGCAGAGATTCCCTGTCTCCACCATGAGCAGCCAGACCCACCCCCACACCAGCCCACTGCAAGGACGGCCGAGTCCTGCAGAGTCGCCGGGAGCAGCGGGGTCCCCTGCCCGCCTTCCCCAGCTGCCAGCTGGGGCAGGGATGGGGAAAAAACGCAGGACAGGATCCAAGGCCCGCAGCTCACCGGGCAGAGGCCAAATCCCCATCCCACCTCGGCATATGCATCAGGCGTCCGACATGGGGCCACCCCGAGGTAGCCCCTGCTCTTCCCCCCCGATGCTGCCGGGGTGCTCTTGCGGGGAAAAGCAAGGTTTCCCATCGCTGCCAGATTCTGGGCAGGCAGAGGCCACCCTGCCAGCCCCACCAGTGTAAGGGACCCCGAGGGATGAACCAAACAGCCCTGGACATGCACGTACCATCGTCCCCTTCCTGCTGCCCTGCAGCTGCTGTGGCAGAGCTGCCAACCTTTGTGTTTTGTAACAAACCTCACAGTGCTCCGCTCCTGGAATCATACAAGTATGTGAAATCACAAATATATACGTAAATAAATGCATAAAAATAACTTTTTTATATATGTAAGTTAATTTAATAGCCACTCACAGCTGGAAAAAGTAACCAAAATCCAACCTAAAGCCATAGAAATCAGAGAGAATGGAGGACATGCAGTGTTTTCTTTAAATCTCACATTTGAGCTACTGTCTTGATTTTAGGGCGATTTAAAAACCATACATGCCTGGGATTGCAGCAGGATGGGAGGACTTTTCACCCACGGCAACTGAAACTTTAACAGGACACACGGGTATGAACTACCCCTTCTGGCACCAAGGGGCGAAATCTCATTGTCTCTGCAGCACAAGCTGAATTCCTTAGGTATTTTGAAAAGGAAAATATATCCCTTCCTTTCCATCCCCTCCCAAATCTGGTATTTCTGAAGTCATGAACTCCTCCTCCTCCAGGATCAGAATTTCTCAGGGTAATTTCTCATATTTCGTGCATGACCTTGATGCTGGGAGAACCACAGCTCCGTCCGTAAAAGCACCCTTCCCAGGCTCCAAGCAACTCCGTGATCCCAGTTTGTCTTTTCTGAGACACGCCGCCCGTTTGCAAAATGACCACCAAAACCGCTCTGTATTCCAACACTAGCTGAGAGTGGACTCATCTAATTAATTAATAAGTTAATCTGTGGCTGGGGTAAGTGGCTGGTCCACCCCAACCCCGCAGGCCCCAGCGAGATGGGGCTAGCTGCTGGACATGTTTATTTTGATGGAGTTGCAAGTAATCTCCCCCCTCCTCATGGAAAAAAATAAAACAGGGAGGGAAGGTTGAGCCCTAAGAGAGGTTACTGGGGTTCTCTGCAAACATGCCATGGGCATCAACCCTGCGCAGGAGCAGGACCGCTGAAGGTGGACGGAGAAACAAGCAGAGGTTATCCTTTGCTTACTGATCAGGAGCCCCACTGCCGGCGGAGCAGGGTGCATCCCAGGGAGCAATCGTGGCAAGTCGGGTTGGGTTTGGGGTACTGAGGTCACGCACTGGGAGAGAAATGCTACCTGGAAGGTCATCTCTGCGAGAAGCAAAGCAAGTGCTGCAAAGTCTCATTCCAGAGAGGACACGCACAGCTGCTCTCTGTGGGATCATGCCGGGGAAAGGCTTGCTTGACCATCAATATCTGCCCAATGCTTGCTGGGAGGAAACCACCACCTGGGAAACCACCCTTGCCCAGCATACACTCAGTGCGTCTCCCAGTCCGTCCCCCTCAACGTGCATGTGGGCAGCTCTGCACTGGCCCCACTCCCAAATGCCGCTTCAGCATGGGATACATCCACCTCTCCAGGCAGAGGACAGGAGAACTTCTGCTGGAGGACAGGGCTGCCCCAACAGAGCGAACTTCTGCAAGATTAAATGCCTGCAGCTGCAAGACAGAAAGATGGTCATAAAGAGTTTAATAGCTCAGACAATACAGGGCATCTGGGCTCCTCATCCGAGAGTCATTACAGGGGTGCAGCACCACAAGCCTCGACTGTATTACACACACAGGTCCAGCTCAGCCAGCCAGGCAACTCCCCACTGCAAAGGGGGGCACTGGAGTGTGGGCAGGAGCTCACACCCACCCGAGACCTCCCAGGTAGGGAGAAAGCTGTGGGCAAGATGTCTCCCTGGATTTTCTTAGGCTGGTCTCACCACTGTTCTCTCACAGAGGACAGGGTTACTAAGTCTGTGGTTGCTGCTGAGCCCATGGTAATGGTGGATTATCCCCCTGGCCCACCTGGAGCCCAGTGCTCCCCTCATCTCCCTTTGAAGCCCCGAGCAGCCCGTGTCCCTGGGGATGGTACCGGGGCAGCAAAATACCATAACATGCCCCACAGTTTTGCCTGCTCCAAGGATGGCCAGGGTCCCTGCGTGCCTCCTGGGGAGAGCGGGCAGCATCCCTTCCCTGGGGGCTTGAGCTCTCGCCAGCCCCTGCCTGACTCCCAGTGGGATCGGGAAGGAGCCTGGCAGCTTCACCAAAGCCAGAGAGGTGCCCACGACCCGCTGAGCAGCTCTGGTTTTAAATGAGAGCAGGAGCAGTGAAAAGCCTTGCTGTGTTAATGGGGGAAATGAAGCCCATGGAGCTTCTCTGATGTCTAATAAGCGCTGTGCATCCTTCAGGGCTGTTCCTCCGGAAAGAGCAACCACATCCCCACACACTGACCTGCAGGACACTTGCAGGATGCTAATTCCCAATAAACTGGGCTGAAACCCGCCACAGGTTTGGAGGGTATTACAGGACGGCAGGTGGACAAAGCGCAAGAGCGCACATCCCTCGTTCCCGTAGGAAACTGGGGGGGAGCAGAGTGCAAGACTGCCCCACAGAGTGCCTTTAACTGCAGCTGGACGGCTGGCCCAGGACAGGCGTGCTCGCTTCTCTGCCTCCCTCCTTCCTTCTCCTC